GTTAACCAGCTCAAGAATTACCTTACCAGCTCAAGAATTACCTTACCGACTCAAGTATTCTCTCGAAATGTTCCCTTGCAAATATTTGCTGCAAGTGCCGATTATCGCGAGTTCAATCAAGATTTCTCTCTCTGTTTCTCGCTGGAGTATAGTTGGATTTTCAACTTTGTTTTTCAAACTTGATCTGAAAACAGAAAGCATATTGAAACTTGACATGTCATGTTCCTAACCTAGAGACCCCCCTTTTACCAGTATGGTTAAAATCTTATCATTTTCATATCACTTAAAACAATTCAATTGGAATTCCCTTAAAAGCATGCAGATTCATTTTATGTTTTAGCACCGTTAACTCGTTTTAAAATTTAATTGTCATGCCAATCATATCTTTAAGATCCCTTTACCTGCGCCGCACCCCAGTACCTAACTCAAGACTCCTCCCTCACACCCGACTCGATACCCCCATGTACCCGACTCAGGCGATGCTCAAGTAGTACTTCTTATGAAGATACACCATTATCTCAGTTTCTGCAAAGACCACATGTAGGATAGCGTACAATTCCCTCGGGCTCAGTTTGCCCCTGTTCGGGTCATACACCGGCATTGAGACTTCTGTTATCCCTCTTTCAATCATGAAGTCTCGTAATCTTGTTAGTGCCAATATCACGTGTTCGGGATCGATTGTGTTCCTGTCATTGACCCTCGTTACTAGGAAGCACAGATATTTGCCCGGGACTTGTGCCACTGACGGTGGAAGCGCTGCCATCCCTCCCAGTCCTGGTCTCTGTCTGAACAGAAACTCTACATTCTGGTACTCTCTTTTGAAGTCAGCTTCCAATCTTGATTTGAAACTCATGTCCGCAGTGATGCAGATCGCGCTGGTCCTGTTTGACAGGATGAAGTCGCTATCTGTTATCATGATGTTCTCCGAGTATTCATTGGGTATTTCGAATTTAGTTTTGAAATTCCGACCTATAGTAGGCTCTGGCTCTTCTTCCTCCAGTTCCAATTCGCTCGTTTCTCTCACTTCCTTGAGCTTCTTTATCATCAAATTTTCGGTGTGGGTAAGTCCTACCCCCACTCCCCGGACAAAAATATTTATCGACGTCCCCGTCGATGTTGTCGGGTCTGAATTGTCCTGAGGAATGTCCAGTGGCCTGTCTGTTGCCGTCCATCCGAAAAGAGGGTCCTCTGTCTTCATGTAAATTGCTGCTGATACATCGACTTGCTGAATGCTTTGTCCTTCGCGGCTCTCGTCTTTGACATCACGCATCCACTCTAGAATCCTCAAGTTCGTGTTCTCCCTCCTCTCTATCTCACTCTGTTCGAGATCCGTTTCTACTTCTGGCGTCGAGTAATCATCCTGCGGATAATGACCACCATCGTCAATGACCTGCCATTCCTCTCCAGCTTCCAGTTCTCCTGCCTTCAGTAATTCCTCGCCCAATTTGTCTGGCTGTATCTTATCGATCAAGAAGTCATCCCCGTACCTGTTGTACCTCATGCCTGTGCGTTTGCGATTGCCAGTCCTGGTTTCCGGTGGTGTTGTTCGATCCGGTTCCATCCATTTCGGCACCTCGTCTTGCTCCGGGTCGTTCCAGTCTTCTTCTACAAATGATCCTGCATCAGACTCCACTCCTATCTTTTCATTGTCGTCCAAACTCAAGTTCTCATTACCATCATTTTTCTCTCTAGTGCCTTTCTCATTCACTTCACACGCTGGCTCTACCACCAGGTACTCAAGACCCTCCATGTCCTTCGGTATGCACCAATCCTCTGGAGACGGGACGTGAGGCTTTAGATTTTCATAATGTGCAGCTCGCCCAGTACTCAAGCGATAGAACCGTCCTTGTTGATGAACCTCCGTTATCATGAATGGTCCCCTCCACTTCTTGAGTAGTTTCTTTGTTCCCTTGGGCGGTATGACATTTTGGAAGACCCACACGTATTGGCCCACTTCATAAGGCTTTGCTCGTAATATTTTTTCGTCGTATTTCCTGCGTTGCCTCATTTGCGCTTGCGCCGTGTTCCTCCTGCATAGCTCGTTCAACTCCTGTTGTCTTTTGATCGCTTCTTTCACGTATGCCTGAGGCGACGTCCTTTTCCCCTCGTATTCCGGGTAAAAGAATGTCAGAGGCATTGCTCTCTCCCTGCCCGTCAACATCATGAAAGGACTGATGCCCGTAGTTGAGTGCTGTGTACTGTTGTAGGCTCCTACTACCTGTGGCAGGTATTTGTCCCAGTCCGTCATGTATCTTGAGCAGTACACCCTTAACATGTTCACCAGTGTCCTGTTTTGTCTCTCTACCAACCCATTGGTCTGCGGGTGATAGGTCGTCGAGTGTGCTTGAGCAATGTGCGATCTCTTCATCAATTCTTTTGTCAAGTCCCCCACAAAAGCTTTGCCGTTGTCCGACTGGAAAGTCATTGGACAACCATACCGCGATATCCAATGCGTTATCAGATGATCACATGTCTCTTCGGCCGAGGCTGTCTGGCACGGAACCGCTTCCGCCAACTTTGTGAAGTGATCTATTATAACCAGTATCTGGTTGTATCCCGACTCTGTCATGCAGATTTTTTGATGGTCTATCTGCACCACTTCATTGAACTCCGAGCTCTCAACGGACTTGAGGGGAAACTTCATCTTCCTTGGGTCTTTTACCTGGAGACATGCCAGGCAGGCATTCACCCATCTCTCGCAAGCTTTTCTCATTCCTGGCCAATCAAATCTGTGAAGTATCCTTTGTTGTACTTTGTCTATCCCCTGGTGACCCATCTGGTCGTGTGATCTGAAAAGCACCTCTGTCTGGTACAATTGTGGTAGTATGATGAGGTTGTGTTTGTGTAATATCTTTTCCTCATCTCTCCTCTTGCACGCTACCACTCCATCAGCTGTGTGATAAAGTAAGTCTTTTTTCTCTTTGTAGAACTGGCTCAAGATCTTGTAGCTGTCTTCCTCGCGTTCCCCCTTCTCCTTGACCCCCGACTGGATCCATTTGGAGAGGTTACTTGTCATTTTGTCATTCTTTTGGGCTCTTATTAGGTCTGACAGCCTATATCTTGCCTTGACATGCTCCTTTAGCGCCATGATCTGTCCATTCATCTCACCAGGTTTGTGGATGTCATCACTCAGCTTCACGCATATCATCCTTTTCACGATTTTCATATCATCTTCTGGCACCAGATTTGTTCTGACGTTTGAGTTGCATGATAGTTCTCTGTATGGCTTCCTTGAAACCGCAATTCTCTCAAGTTCCTCACCACCTCGCATCTCCTGTATGTCCATGTTGTATGTTCCTGAAGATGGATCCGTCTGTAACTCCCTGTCGTGGTGCCTTGTCTTCTCTTCCGCCAGTATCATGCACAGACTGTCCTGGTTTTCGCTGCTCTCATCCGAGTCTTCATCCCATCCTTCACGCTCCCCGGACAATTTTCCTTCTCCGGTTCCTTCTTCCGTGAATCTGGAACACTCCCCGGACTCTTGACCTAGTCCCAGGTGTTTAGTATCTTCCTTGAACGTCACTTTCTTTTTCCTAACCCTGGTCTGCTCCAGAATGTCTTCGGGGATTTTGTCAACTAGTGACCGCACGACATCTTTGCTGTCAGTCACGCTTCCTCTTGTTGAGTCAGTATCGTTCACTGTCTCTTTTCTCCGAAGTATAGTGAATTCCGGTTTCTCTTTACCCTTCTCCTGGATCACTGGCTTATCATCTGATAGTTTCTCGAGCAACCTCATTAAGTCATCATCTATCTGTGCAGTTCCTGCTTCCACCTGGTTAAGATCATAGCCTTTTGCCTTGAGCGTCTCCTTCACGATCTTCGACTTGAGTATAATCTCAATCGGAATCCTCTTGCTCTTCCTCAAGATGGTCTTCTCTGGAGGCTCTTTAGGCAATTCAGGATGATCTTCTATCGGTTTGCCTGACTTGTCCAGCCATCTCGTGAGTGGAAGACTGTCGTACGTTTCCTTGTCCATGAATGAGAAGCCATCTTTGATTTCAGGTCTGTCTGCTTCTCTTTGCTCTTGTCTCTCATAGAACTCCGTCTTCTTACTCAAGCTGTCGGCATTCTGATGTTTATCTTGCGTTCTATGCTCAATTATCATGTTGTATCCGTCCAGGCGAACTATCCACCTCCCAATGTAACTTTGGTCCATTGAGTACGTTTTCAGCCAGCTCAGTGCTCTGTTGTCGACTCGCAACTTGAATGGTTCACTGCCCAAGTATGCCCTGTATTTCTCGACAAAGGTAACCACCGCGAACATCTCAGCTTTCGGTGCTCCGTACTTCATTTCCGTGTCACTCAGGACTTTGCTCCCGTACGCTATTGGTCTCAAGACTGTCTTCCCATTCCATTCTTGTTCTTGGTGGAGAATCCCAGAAATCGCGACTACCGACGCATCCGTGTCCAGCACGTACATCCCTTTCTCAGTCGGCATACCCAGTACTGGTGCCTCACATAGCTCTTTCTTTATCCTCTGGATCAAAAAAATTGTGCATCACCTAACTTGGAGAGGCTCTCATCAATCCTAGGTATGGGATAGGCATCCTTCACCGTGACGGAGTTCAGGTATCGAAAGTCACAACAAAAACTCAACTGGTCGCCTTTCTTTTTGGCCATCACTACTCCACACGCCCACGGTGACTTGGATGGTTCGATCATGTCATACTCTAGTAACGTCTAGATTTCTTTTCTACAAGCATCCGATTTGTGTGGGGTCATGCGCCTCGCCCCCTCCTTGTGCGGTACCGCGTTCTCCTCAAGTTCTATTTCATGCTCAACGAAATTGCAACACCCGATATCCGCCTTATGCCTCGAAAAAACATCCTCGTTCCGCTCTAGTACGTCCTTGATGGCTTCGAGCTGTTCATCTTTCAGTTTGCCCCTCAAATGTTCAATCTCCGGCAGAACCGGTTTTTCATTTTGCATTTCATCTAGTGTGGGTCGCTCTGGAAAGTTCGAACAGCTCGAAAGACCATCATCCGTTTCTGACTTAAGTGATTTAATAAGACCTGAAGAATCTTTTATTTTCTGCAATCGTCTCAAGATACAAATTTTGTCCCTGTGATTGGGACAATCAACAACTTCATTTTGTTTTGAGTTCTCAATTGTTTCATATCGAGTTTTAACCGGTAAAGCATATCCCAGTTTCCTCCCTCTCTGTATCGTGATCGGTATATCAAGGGTATTCAACAAGACACTGACGCAGAGGCCGCTCTTCGTTATCGAAAATTATCTTCCTAAAACAGCAGCACTTTGACTATTAGGATTCGGAACTATGCACACTTGCTTGTTGTCACTTAGTTCATTGTAAATTTTCATCCTCAAACTTACGATTGCCGCTTCATTAGCTTTTAGCCTCACCCTCCTACTCAAAAATACCGGTGCTTTGTTTTCATTTACCATTATTAAATTTACAGGTTTGATTGCGTACCTCCTATCCGGGTTCCGTATCCTGAACATTGCGTTATTTAAATCAATCGTTACGTCGAAATTCCTGATGAAGTCTCTGCCCAAAATGAATTGGTCAGATTCATCTAGGTTTTCTACCACGATAAAGCTCATCCACAGGTTACGTTCCCCCAAATTGAGGGCTATTATCGGCGTCCTGCCCAATACCCGTAGGGCCCCTTTGTTTGCAGCTGACAGCCGTATTCTCGAGTCTATCAAGTCACCTTTGTCAAAGCCCATTTTCTCCCAAGTTTCGATTGGTATAACGCTCAAGACTGCTCCCGTGTCAAGCAACCCACGCAACTGAGTCTTTTTGCCACTTATATCTAGCACGTGCCCTGTCACATCTGCCTCTGTTCCGATGTGCATTGCATCTTCTTCAAGCATGGCGCAGTGTCCAATCGATCTCACTTTCAACTCTTCTTTCCCTACGTAGATTTGCCCAATTAGGTCTTCGTCACATGTTATCATTGTCTTGGTATAGATGTTGATTCCATCTGTATTTAGCATCACCTCGTGTGAACCATAAGCTTCAGTATACCTGTTATCAACACGTACCGACTTGCTGCCCCCTCTCGTGAGTAGTGCTCTCAACGCTCTAGAAGTCGTTTGTGGGCTTATACAACTCAAGTAATCTGCGTACACGTCAATGTGCATTATTGTCTGGTCGCTCGGTTCGCTCAAGTTTCTGGTTACCTCGTGGCCGCCCACTGTGATTATCGACATTATTCTAGCCCCGATTTTCGATATGCCGAGTGGCTTTCCCGTCACCGTTTTTACGGTGTTACAATTCCCGGTCTTTGTCGAGCCCGGTACAGCCTCTGGTGTTGGCTTTGATCCAGTTAATGCTTCGTTGAAATTCTGTCTTTCGATCTCCTGCTTTAGTCGTTGCTCTATTTCTTTCGCAGCCAGGTCCTGTTTCACTTTGGCAATTGCTTCCGTCGCCGCTTTCTCATAATTTATCTCTAGAGAGTTCCCTGCCGCGGATTCTATGGCATCATTAACATGTGATACAGCTTTCACTGTCTTCGTCGGCAATTCCGTGCTTGGTGCTCCTAAGTTCCTCGATTCAAATTCGTTTTGCCTGTTCCGCTGATTCTGCACCGCCGCTAATGCCAACTTATGTTTAGGGTGACTCTGGTCCTTGACCGCTTCCCAGAACAAGGGACAATCCATTCGGAAGTGCCCCTCCTGGTTACAGAAGAAGCATCTTGCACCTATCTTGATGATTAAGCCACTATAGTACTCGTGTTCCTCCATCTGGCTCATGTCCTCCTCATCTGGTGCATATCCTAGACTCTTCATGCCTTGTTTGTATGTTGTGCAGTCAGCCACGTGATGATCCGCCGACCCGCAGTTCGCGCATGATCTGCGCTTGTCCATGTCATCTCTAGGTTTGTACCATGACGACCTCTGCGGTTGACTTCCCCCTTGCGTGTTCCTGTTTTCTGAATACGAGTATTTCTTGGGTTTCATCAGCATGTATTCCCTTGATTTCTGTCTCATTTCTTCTGGGGTTGGTGCGCTGTCTTTCGACAATGTGTAGTATGTTGCTAACATTGTCCTTAAGTCGTCACTTTTTACCCCATCAATGAACTTCGAGGCAATGCTAAAGTTTCTTCTGTTTGTCGACTCCTCTGGGTCACTCCTTCTTCTCAAGCTCTCGAGATCATCTAGGAACCGATCTATTGACTCGTCGTCCCTCTGTCTTCTCTTTTCAAATCGCATCATCGCTTGGTGACCCTTCATGCCTGACCCGAATCGATTCAGCAATATCTCGAAGATCTTGTCCGCGGTATCGCGTTCTTCTTCTTTCTTCGCAACCACGCATTTTAATGCTGTGCCTTCTAAATTGCTGAGTATGGCTGTGCATGCTTGTCTTTCATCGTTCAAATTGTCTTGCTCTAGATGTAATCTCATCACTTCCACCCACGTGTCAATGCATCCATCTGAGTCGTCTTTGAATTCTTTTGGCTTCTTGAATGTTTTTCTTGATTTCCCATCTCTCCTATCGCTCGAGTTAGTGTTCCTCGTGGCGAAGGCCTCTAGAGTCCTGTTCATCATCTCCCAAGTGTTTGCCCATGTCATAGCATCCGGACCTGCGTTGCTGTTAGCTTTTGAGTCCCCCGGACCAGTCGTTGTACTTGACATTCCATTCTTCATGATTGTTTTAGCAGCTGTTGGTGCTATGCTCACCGTATCCCGGGTTAGGGGCAACGGTGTCGATTGCCGTTTGTTCCTTTGTGGTTCCACAAAGTCAACTCTGGTGCCTTGCGCGCGATCCGCTGCCGGTCTTTCTTGTGAGGTAGAAGTACTCAAGATTGCATCCAATTTCGCCTGTATTGCACACGAACTCTCGGCCTGATTTTTGCTCATTGTGTCCATTCTCTTTTCCAGGCTACCTAATTGGCTGTTGACATCATCATATCGGTTTTTTAACTGTTGCAAATCTTTTTTGATGTTCTTATCTCGTTCTTCATTGGTGGTTTCTACATTATCTGACATTTCCTTGAGTCTCTCTTCTGTTGCCTTGGCCAGGTTAAAATAACTATCCAGATACTCGTTTTTGTTGTATCTTAATTCTTTTCTTATCACTTCTCTGTCCTCTTCGCTGTGCTTCAGCTTTTTGTCGATCTGATTCAGTTTCGCCATCAAGTCACCTAGCTCAAGAGTAGCCTCTTCATGGTCAGCCGTCGGTCTTTCTTCGACCGTCGCTTCTGCTCTAGTTTGCTCCTCTCTCGGATTGGCTTCTGTCGTCTTCGTGCTCACTGTTCCAAATGTTCGTGCTCTTTCAGCTTTTGGTTCTTCAGTCACGTTCTCTTTCGTTTTTATTCCGACCATCATCGCCAACCTTTCTGTAAAAGATGTCTTTTTTACTTGAGAGTCTTCTTTCACCGTTTCTTCGGTGTTGCCTATTGCATCTTCCACGTTGTCTATTGGTGAGAATTCTATGGGTTTCGAGTTTGGTTCTTCTGCATTGGGCATTGGAGTTGACTCCGTCGCTATTTTCCTTGTTTCATCAACACTTTGATCAGGTGTCTCTAGATCAATCTCGATGGTGGGTTCTACTCGTTCCCCTTCCATGCCCTCTCTTGCTCTCTCCGTTGTACTCCTTGTGCTGACCATGTTAACTGAAAAGTTCTTCTTTGTTATCTTTGGGCCCATTGATGTTGTTTTGCGTAGCGACGAATTATACTTTGCTTCGGTAGGTCTTTTTTCAGCTACCGGTACCCTGCTCCGCCTCATTATTTCTATTTACAATTGCTCTTATTTACAATTTTACTATATACACAATCCTATTCTAAGAATAAAATCTTTCGAGGAAAAAAAAAATTTCTTAAAAAAAAATATACAACGTGGTGAAAACCTTGTTTCAGTTCTCTTTATTAACTTTTCGAGAAACTTTCCTTATTTGTGGTCCCAACCGTACCTGGTTCCAATTAGTCTTGTTCTATCTTAATTCTGTCTTAAAACACTTCTTGTAATTTTACTTCAATTTTTATACTGTCCCAAGACTTCCAATTGCCGTCCCTACTCTTCTTTGTACCGTCCCAGGCTTCTTTCTCCTGTCCCAAGACTGTTCGGTACCGTCCCAGTACTTTCCGGCAGTGTCCCAAGACTCTTGTCCAAGACTACTGTCCCAAGGCTAGTGTCCCAAGACTACTGTCCCAAGACTAGTGTTCCAAGACTAGTGTCCCAAGACTAGTGTCCCAAGACTAGTGTCCCAAGACTACTGTCCCAAGACCCTTGTCCCAAGACTCCTGTCCCAAGACCCTGTCCCAAGACCCTGTCCCAAGACCCTGTCCCAAGACCCTTGTCCCAAGACATTGTCACAAGACCTTGTCCCAAGACCCTGTCCCAAGACCTTGTCCCAAGACCCTGTCCCAAGACCTTGTCCCAAGACCCTGTCCCAAGACCCTTGTCCCAAGACCTTGTCCCAAGACCCCGTCCCAAGACCTTGTCCCAAGACCCCGTCCCAAGACCTTGTCCCAAGACCCTGTCCCAAGACCCTGTCCCAAGACCCTTGTCCCAAGACCTTGTCCCAAGACCTTGTCCCAAGACCCTGTCCCAAGACCCTTGTCCCAAGACCCTGTCCCAAGACCCTGTCCCAAGACCACTGTCCCAAGACTGTACTGTCCCAAGACTGTCCCCAGACTGCTCTGTCCTAAGACTTCTTCGGCACTGTCCCAAGACTGTTGACAAGTGTCTGGGTGGTGGGACTTCTTTCCTCTTCGTTATGGGGACTTCTTGATTCGCCGTACCTTGTACCACCACTCAAGCTCTAGTAAAATTTTCCCAAAATCCTCTCTTAAAAGCCAAATGCTGACCCCCCTTTTTCTTATTTCTCTTTTTGGCTACCTCTATTTCAATGTTCCAAGTAACTTGAGACCAAAACCTGTGCGCAGGTATCTTGTGATCACCTGTTCGTACAAAATTTTAACACAAATCCTCACCAAAATGCAACAAAAATCTAAGCAAGAAAAAGTAATAAAAACAGAAAGATGAGCCCACCTAAAATTCAAAGGTGACAAATGTCTACCTTCTATCGAAAAAAAATG